GCTGAATGAGCCCTCACTGAGCATCTACTATGTCAGGGAAGAAGATGAGTGTCTGCACACACAGACGCTGTTCCCATAATGCACAGACTTTCAGTTTTGCAGCATGAGATTGAGCTTAACTTAATAGCTGTTGCTTAGTGCAAAAAAAATGAGCCTGGATGACACATAGGATTAATTATAAGTTATCCCACTTTAATTTTTAAAAGGAAAGGTTTCTGTGTGATGTCTCACTGTGCTAATTGTTCTAATAAGCAGAAGAAAAGGCAATAATTTTAGTTGTGACAGTATCATAATCCTCCTGCCCAGAACTATGATAGAAGAATATTCCCCTGAAATGTCTCACTTAAAGCACCATTTTCTTTTATAATAATAGAAAGAGTGTTTTTTAGTTGTGATGGCATTGTGGCTGATTCTAGTGGTTTCCCTGGAGGAGCAAGAAATTCTTTTCTATTGTGTATATGGGAATAAGAAACTATACATGCTTAATGTTTGTGTATTAGAAAGAAAGAGGAGGAATAATTAGCTGCCAACAGACTCACTTCCCTGGCATTAGTGGTCCATATAGAAGCTGTGCATGGCTGCATCTTGAAACAGGTACACCGATATCTTTATTTCACTGATGAAACACTTGTGCCAAAGCAGAGCTGATCCCCCCCACATACTTTTTTGTTTTTGTTTTTGTTTTTGTTTTTGTTTTTGAGACAGAGTTTCTCTGTGGTTTTGGAGGCTGTGCTGGAACTCACTCTAGGCTGGCCTCAGACTCACAGAGATCTGCCTGCTTCTGCCTCCCGAGTGCTGGGATTAAAGGTGTGTGCCATCACCACCTGGCCTTCCCCCCCCCCTTTTATATGTTCCTTTATCCTGATCTAAGGCAGAGGGAAAGAAACTGGAAGATAGTAAGGCCTCTAAAGCATTGTAAAAGAAATAGAGTGCCTACCTTCCTGCATTAGGCAGTGGAACTAACTGTCCATTTATTCTATGAAATTCTCAGATAATATCAAGGTTCATTTCTGAATGAGAAGTCTAGCCCGGAGTTGGCTGAAGAAAGAATATCGGCATAGGGTCCTACTGTTGGAAAGTCAATGCCTGAAGAAAATAGGTTACGGTGTGGGACTTGGTTAGTCAACTTAATAGAAGGTTCTAGACTCAGCTGGCAGAGGAGCCTCTGACCATACTCATGGAGAGCCATTTGGTTATGCCCCCTGTGGCTGGTGTCATCCTCCGGATGGGATCCTGACCTATCCAAATAGAGAAAAAGAACTGGGCAGTGCCAAGCATTCTTCTCGACTGTGGACTTGGCATGACCAGCTGCAGACTTCGCTTCCCCACCACCATGGGGGGCTTTAACTTAACTTTGAGTTGTAGGTTAAAATAAACCTTTCCCCCCATAAGTTGCTTCTGAAGATCTATTTTAATCACAGCAATAAGAGAAGAAACTATGCCCTCCTTTTTATTCTGTGTGGCATTTGCTGCTGCCTTCGAAGCCTCAGTTCACATTTCACCTGCCCTAAGAAGTCTGTCCTGCCTCCTCTGTTCCCCCCAACCTGAGGTGGCTACCCTTCCCCACTCTAATAAGCCTAGGTGCCTAATTCCTACTAGAAGGGAGGAGCTATCTCTGTCCCTGATTTATTTGTGCAGTGTCAGGCAGATGACCTAGTACCTCTAAGCCTACTCTGAAGATGGCCAGCAGTCTGAAAATGTTTGAGAAATATCACTACAGGGATCTTTTGAAATGTAGTTTTCAGTTATTAAAGTTTATCATCATTATATGCCAATGGCCATGTCTGAGGAGCAACAGGTAGTAATTGAAGTTCAAGGTGTCAGCCCACCAGGAGGAAACTCTCTGATGGGTCAATCTTGCTTAAGTAAGGCTACGAGACTACAGACCCTAGAATGTCTTTTGCTTCTGCTGTGCCTTTACATGTTTGCTACTACAACATCTCTCTGGTATCCAGCATGGCATAAGTGGATGTGGGGAGACCCCCATTGCCTGTAATGTAGTGTGTTTATCTCACGAATACATCCCATTCTACTGGGCATTTTTATGTGTGGATTGTCAAGAAGGTGACTCCCTCCTTAAGCTGTACTGTCTAATTGATGATAATAGTAATGATAGCTTATACAGAGTTTTGATGAATAAAAATAAATACCAGAATATGTTACATAGCTAAAGCCTATGGATTCCACTTAAGGAGCTGCTTTAGACCACAGCTCAGGTTAATGATTAAGGAAAACATTTGAATCCAGGAGCCAGGCTGGAATTCTCCTAATGCTGAAAGGATGCAGTTGTGGGTTTTGTTGTGCACCATTAGCTGAAACAAAGCTTCCAAAAAAGCTTCAGGTTAGACAAGATGCCTTGCTAATAGTTTTAAGATAAATAACCCCAGAAAACAACTTAAGTTCACAAGGGTACACAGCTGTGTTGTCTAATTCATTAGGCTAGCATCAAAAATATAAAACAGCTTGATTATTGCTAGCCTTCTTTGCTAGGTCTGGTTGATAATCAAAGGTGATGATTAACTCCTTACATGCATTCCTTACCTCAACTTTCTGATACAAGAAACTACTGACGTATGCCCCCTGAGGATTCAAAGTTCAACAGCCTGACTGTTTTTCTATGTTTAAAAGTTTAGGTTTTCAAAGACTTCCTTAAAATTCCTTATAAGATTACCTTTCAAGGTAGACAACTAAGTGATTGATTTTTGTTGGTAGCCTGCCAACAAAAGAGCTGGGTGAGAAAAATGCTCTTGCTTGCTCATGATCTAGGTGTATCGCATGTGGGCTGCTGGGATGACTCTGTTTTTAATCTTGTAAGGGAGATGAAAAACATGTTCTTACCTACAATCATTCACTTGAGAAATGGAATGTAACCCCTTTGTGACTCTGTATTGCCTGAAAGATTCTGCAGGGTATATAAGCTGTAGAAAAACATGAAAAGATGGAGAATGGAGAATAAAGAAAGAAACCATCAAGAGGGTATGCAAATGTCCTTTTCCCTAACACCCTCAGATAAAAAAGTCCAGTATGTGCCAATGCTGTGGATTTTCCCTTTGAGCCCTGTCCTGTCTAGCTAGCCCCAAGGTGGTGATAATTATATATCATAAAAGCAATTCTTGTTTACTAGGAATTGATGACCCAACTCATCAAAACACCATCCTTACCTACCCCATTTCTATTAGTCACTTCTAACTTATCTTGAATATTGATCCCTGGGAATTATTATCTCCATCTCATGAGTGAGAACTCAGAAGTATTATGACTTTGAAAGTCAGAGAGTCTGACAAGTCATTGGACCTGGACCACAGAGGTTAGGGAATGGCAAGGTTCAGTCTCTTTCTAGTAAGATGTGATGAAGGACTGGGTATGAGTGAAGCATGGACTACGTGAAAATTAGGTTTGGTGGGACAAGAAGTTGACATTCTCCATTAAAATGAAGTTCCTGGATTATCTTTCAATGGCTCATGCATATTATTCCTATTTTATTTACCTTGTGACACATTCTCAGCATATCTGTGTTGCCAGATGGCTCTGAGTCAACACTCTTTACATAATACTGACTTTAGTAAACAAAATTCCCAAATGTAATCGGTTAGTACCAAACACTCATGTTATACAATGGTAAATTGTGACTTCATCAACCTTTATAGGATTTTAAAAACAACTTCCTTGTATATCAGTATTTAAAGGAACAAAGAAAAATAATGGGTAGCAGAACAATTTTTATCAAGGGGACTTGTAAATAGCATCACTGGCTTCACTGGCTGGGGAAATATGAAAATTATTTATGTACAGAAAATACTGTTTGGGGGCTGGAGAGATGGCTCAGAGGTTAAGAGCACTGACTGCTCTTCCAGAGGTCCTGAGTTCAATTCCCAGCAACTACATGGTGGCTCATCCATTATGAGACCTGGTACCCTCTTCTGGTGTGCAGATATACATGGAAGCAGAATGTTGTATACATAATAAATAAATAAAATCTTTTAAAAGAGAAAATACTGTTTGTACTAGAATATTCCCAAAGTCATAACTGACAGTCTTATGTCATATGTCACACATTCCAGTCACTGATGGATTAATTGGACAATGACTCTATAGGGACATCATTTTATTTTTTATAGCTATCTTCTGTATTGGCAAAATGACAAAAATCACCTAAAAATGTTTGTTTTCTTTATATTTGTTTCTTTCATTAAACATCATTACTGGGTATTTGCTAGCAATTTAAAGATGTCACATATGATTTACAAGGTAGAACAAAACACCACTGTGCGATGAGGAAGGCCCATTTCCTTTGATTAAGAGTACATTTAGGAATTGAATAATACTAATTTTAAACTAAGTCCATGCAAATCATTGCTTGAAGGAGGAAGCCGAATGACGTTTTAGCTAAGTTAATTAATATGCCCAAATTGTGTGAGCTGCTCATCCTGCCCAGTGTGATTATTACTCGTAGTCCAAGAGTGACCTCATTTCGTGCATAGACTTTAGCTGTTTGATGTGATGTGTTAGCCACCAGCAACATATGCCTATTGAAATGAATTTAAATCACGTGGAATGGAAAACTCCACTCCTTATTTACTTTAGTCACATCAGGTGTTCAGTCAGCCACTCGTGACTGCTATATTAGATACAGGGGTTTGAGACATCTTCACACAGTTTTGAGACAAGTTCTTCCAAGGACAGCAGAGTCATTCACTCTTCATGGTTATTGCTTTAGTATTGGTGAAACAAACACCGAGTTTGTTACTTAAGACTAATTAGAATTTAATAAATAACCCAATTCTTTTATTGTGGTAACAGATTATTCACTAAAGAGAATGCACTTTTGAATGCATGATACTTTATTTAAACACATATATGTACAATGACAAGAAGGGACATGGTGCGAATTCAGCCCGGTGGCTGCATGCGTTGGTGGGGACAGGCAGACAGGTATCACAGGATGAGATGAGATGTGGGTGGAAAATAGGAAGAGTCAGGAGAGTGAGTTTCATTTCCCATCACCACATGGAAGGGTCTTCAAGCCTGTAAAACACAAAGAAGCAAATCATGGAAGAGCCACTGCCCAGATCCCGGGTATTGCAAGAGTGAGACACTTAGTCCTGAGCTGCATGGTGATCAGAAGCTGTTGTGAAGCCTCCTGTTGGCGCTGTAAATAAGAAGCCGCACGGAACAGCAGCATATTGAGAACCCAGTTCATCAGCTTTTGCCCACAGGAACTGGAGTCTCTCTAAGAGAGTACTTAGAAGGCTCTGTACATATCAAAGGAGATGAGGGACTCCACCGTACTTCTGAAGATCAAAACTGCAGGAATCACATGAAATTATAACAAGAAAGCTAGTGTTACTCAACTCCAAGTATGCTTCCGTTGTTTTCCAGCAAGCCTTTTTGTATGTAGTGAGATGCTATTTATTAGGCTATAAAGGGCCCCTTTTAATAAAACAGCATTCACAGGCAACTCCAAGGCTATCAACTTCTGTCTCCTTCTAATTGCACATGATTGAGTCTGTCAGTCAGGGTGCAATTAACTTTATTTCCTGCACTAACTGTGTTATTTCAGTCTACAAAACAAAGCAGGCAGCGGAGTTCTAAGTAGGTCTGGATCACTATTTCCAAATCCTAAGTACACAGATTACTAAGCTTTTGTGGTTCCAAATATCCCATGCATATCAACGAGACACGAAAATATGCTTATTGTTCAGTATCAAAAACAGTGTGTATGGTGAGTCCTTAGATTTGGGCAGATACCTGTCTCAAGACCTATGCATACTCCAAGAAAGATTCCAGGCTACAGATAAGCACCTAAGGATACTACATTATCCCACGGTCCTTTGAATAAAATGTATCACTATATTGAACAAAAATACATCAGAAAGTAGCTAGGAGCACCTTATTTATCTCCAGTTTGGGGTAAATCTAGGGAAGGCAGAGTCAAACACATGAGGGACATAGCCTCTAGGACTTTTGGGCGTGCCACCTAGTGTAAAAAACTAGATTATCCAGCCCAAATGGATGATTGGTCATTTCGGTTCAGTGCTGTGGGCTTGCTCTGTGCTCCCTTAACTCTAATAAGGCAAGGCATTCTGTAGATTATGATTTCAAGCTAAAAGTCACTCACATTTAGGAAGGAGCACCAAATAACATTCATTAGAAAACAATGTGCCCTGGAAGTTGAGATTTGCCAGTGAATGTGTGATAATCTATGATTTCTATATGATTTTCCATCCCATCTCTGCGCCAATCCCTCCTCTCTGAATTCTTGCATCCTAATGTTCACATGGACTCCCAACTTTCCCCAGCTCACCACCCCTGGCATCTTAAGCTCATCTCCATCCCAAGCCTTGTCTTACCTTGTTCTGGGGACATTTTCTGTGCTTTCTTTCATTAAGAGGTCTGAAATCAGTGTCTCAGGGCTAGATCTCTTGCCATATCTGAAACAATAAAATAAATCAGAGTTTCATAAGGTAAGCTTAGGGAAGCCATAGAGACCATGAGGAGAGAGGAAGGGAGTGTCCCACTAAACTCAAGCGTTACTTCTAGCTGTCCATTTGCTCATAAGTACTCTCAGGGTATGAAGCATGTCATCAGCAACTTTGACATGACAATATATACATACACATGTACACTTACTCTTATGCATATGCATACATACGCAAGCTGGTGAGAAGGAGAAGTGCTTGCCATACCCATGCAAGCCTGACGATCAGAGTTCAATCCCCAGAACCCAAAGAGAAAATAGAGAACCAACTCTGGAAAATTACCTTTTGACTTCCACATGCAGGTATCTGCATGCATACACCAACACAAATTTTCTCTCTTTCTTCCCAAACAAATACAATTTAAAAGTTATATATATTTAATTTTCTGAAGTACTTCATAGATATTTTATTGATGAGCTTACACTATGATTACAGCATCTACTCCCTTTCTTTTTCTCCTACAAACTCTCCCATGTACCCTTCCCCAGCATGATTTCAAATTCATGGACGTTCTTTCTCTAATTGTTATTACATGTGTGTGGGGGGGTATATTCCTAAATATATAAACACAACTATAAATATACAACGAGATAAGTTTATATGATGTTCCTTGTATGTAAGAGAGAGAATTTTTTACAGCTTTGTGAAACTAAAAAACAAATGTTTCCATAATGAGTTGATTGCCTGTAGTTCTCGTGATTCACAACAGTTTACATCTTAACAAGGAGATAATATGACATCACAGAAACAGTCCTGGGGGGACACCCAGAATAATCATGGTTGAAGCACACCGGTGTCTTTGAATCTATTTGCACATTTGAAAAACTAAAATCAAGTCACGAGCCCAGGTTAAATCTGTGTCTGTGGAGAAGGAATGCAAAGCAATGTCGGGGAGACACAGCCGTGCACAAACGCCAGTGGCCGCTGCCCAGGTTCATCGGTCCTTACGTCTCCATCTTTACTGCTATCTCACAGCTTCATCACCACAGCTCTGCCATTGCGTCTCCATCACCCCGCTCCTTCCTTACAGCTCCCAGCATACCCTGATCTTACATTCCCCACCCACCCCTGTCTGTTGGAGGCACTAATGCCTTCCCTGAGGTATGAAGAAGTCTTACGGGCCCACAAAAAATATTTCTGTGGGTCATTGTCCCCTGCCTTTAGTAGGATATGGTAAGGACAATATATGAATGTGAGGTGACATTTATCTGTAAGGGTAAAACAGATTGCCTGCTTCAGAAAACTGCTAAAGGGCTTGACAAGTTGATAGCAAATTACATGACTTTCCCCTTTCTTAGAAAAGGCATGGGGCACCAGCAACCAATCCATTTCCAAATGAACACTTTGCCTGGCCGGGACTGATTAACAAATAGGTACAATAGCTGGGCAAAGCTGATAGATGTTCTAAGTGCTGACCTAGGGCAACTAAATCCAAACGCTTTGGCGGGGCTTCTTATTGCTCCTTTGCTGAAACTCAAAGGAGAGATTAGCCTGGAGGTGGTGGTGGCTTGCGCCTGGTTATTCTGCCCTTCAGTTAGTTAGTTGACCTTGCTAATCTTCACACTTGGAGCAGCCAACCTGAATTCATTCACCCTCATCATGCTTCATTGAGTGAAAGGGCTACAGCCCTTTCCTCCTATTTCCTCATCAAAATCTACCACTGTTGTGGCAGCTTCTGCCTGGTCACAGACTTGCAGGGTGGACAGACTTGGGGCTCTTTCTTCTCTAATTAATTCTAGATTATCAGTCATCTCTGTAATAAGCAAGCTTCTAAAGATTGCTGTCTAAGGCAAAGAGTCTCAAACATGGAGTTGCATTAAAGTCACCTGGGCTGCCTTTGAGGACACTAGAAAGCCCTGATCACACCTCAGAGGGCTTGATTTAGTTGGTGGGAATAGAGGTCAAGTCATTCTGTTTTAAAGTTCTCCATGTGGTTGTCAGGACCAAGAAACACCAATCAAGGGATACACTTCTCAACCTCTGTAACACTAACACTTGCAGAAAAATGATTGTTTACTGGGGGTGGGGCAGAGGGTGGGGCAGGGGTGGGGAGGTGGGCTGTGCATTCAACAGGATGTCAGCTCCACACTAGATACCAGTAGCACTCAATTCTGGTAATGCCAACCAAACAGTGTCTCCCAACATTGCCCAGTGTCCTCGGGAGCATAAAATCCCTCCCCCAAGCTGGAAACCACTGTTTTAAGGAACCATATAAACAAGATGTAATAGATCCATAGACTAACATAAGAAATCCCTCTTGCAGAAGCAATGAATCAGCAGCATGTACAGCAACAGGAAAACAGCTACAAACAGGACTGGTGAGAGGAAGGAAGAGAATAATTACAGATAAAACAGCCACCAATGACATGGTAAATATCAAAGGCGGGGACTCTGCCTGGGAATCTTTGGTGGGAAGTCAAGGAGTGCACGATGGAGCTTCTAGTGGTTTCTAGGGAGTGCAGCGTGTTACCAAGACGATAGAGGAAACAGCCTTAAGGACCAGCTGATTCCCATCAAAGATGATTCTCTTCCCATGACAGGCAAGCCCCTCTGCCTATTTCTTCCCTTAAAGATAGTAGAAATTTCATGGAATGTGATGGTGTGGCCCCAGCCAAGAAAACTCAGTAGAGGGTTTCAATTCCATAACCCTAAGAAAGCTTTCTTGAAATGCCCTTAGTTTTATGATCTGCAAAGTAGAGACAGTTAAACTCACTTCAAAGTTTTGAGAAAGACTGAAGGAGATGACTGGGAAAACATGAAATGAGATCATTGTATGCAGTGTGGCAAAGCTATATAGCAGCAATATTTGCCAAAAAATTAGTTCTATATGATGCTTCCAAATAAAGTTTTTTTTGTTTTTTGTTTTTGTTTTTTTGTTTTTTTTAGAAAACATGGTATCATTTCAATTGGGTATTTTTTTTCTTTGAGCTATATAGAATTAAAAAAAAAAGTTGAAGCCATTGACTTTCTAGAAAGTCTATTGTGCTCAAAGACACAATTGCTTTTTCTAGTCAAAATTATCAGATTTTCAAAGATTATGAGCCAGTATTACTTGTGACTCTGTCTACACTGAGATTGTTTCCCCCAGAAGGCTTCTGGAATGTCACATACCTTCCTGATGAAATTAAGAGTAGGCAACTATTTTAGAAGCATAACCCCCTTTTGTATCCCATCTTACAGTCTTCTGGGTGGTGAACAGTTTGACCTCCCTCTGGTAATGTACCACACATAATTGAAACATGCTAAGTATAGAACATTAGTGTTTCCAGGGGGCTTGCCCATACAGTTCTTAAGGTTCTCAGTAATTAAAATGTGTTGTTAAATGATTCAGAACTAATTCTGTTCACTGATTTTGCAAACAGTCCCATATTGTCTTTAAAGCAGCCTGGGTTTGATTTGTTTTGCCTGACTTTGATGCTGAGAGAAATAGCAAACCCTTCTCTTTGACTTTCTGGGCATTAAAGATAAAGTTCACCATCTCTTGGGTCCTAGGCAGTCAGAGATGTATCCAACAGGATTACTAATGAGAAGTCTTTTGCTTTGTTTTGCTTCTTCTTAATAAGGCAAAAATCCAAGTACTTTTTTTTTCAGAACTCAGTTGCTATAAAATAGGAAAAGTCGGATTTTAAAGGCCATCTAGGAATTATGATGTGTGAGGTTGAGATGGTTCTGTTCGGTTTTTTGTCCAAATGCTGCCACTCAGTTTGCCTTGGGCAGGTTGGAAGGTCTCACCATCTTTTTGACAGCTGGACTGCATCTTTGGTGTTTTGGGTGATGGTTGTTTACTCTAGGTCAGGTTCCCTCTTCTCCCTATGCAACTAACCAGCTGCACCCCTGCTCCTGTTGCAGGCTCTGTCCCAAGGAAGGTGCTAATAGGTCCCCAATTGATGTAAAGGGGAAAAAAGCCAGGAGCGGTGGGTGGTGGGTGGGAGGCAAACACACAGCCCAGAGGCACTGAATCTTGGGCTCAGGACTTGGAGAGCAACTGTAGTGGCAAAGAGAAAGTGCCCAGTTTGTGTAGTGTGTTCCCTGCACACACATTTATCTAGAGCTGAATTTATGACTGATACTGTCCTACCCCGGGACAGAATAAGGAAAAAAGATATCGTCCGCCATCTCCAAAGTCCCCAGATGTACAGTTGTTCCGGAGCCCCAGATAGCTGCACTAGGATGCACCCACCTCTGCCTGGTGATCAGATTGATGTAGTGTCGTAGAGCCGAGTAGTATCTGGCCATGTCCTCCGCTGGTGCATCCTCGCCGGGATTGTCAGGCTTGGAGGGGTATCCCTCAGCCAGCACGCCCAGACACACGAGCAGGGACAGAGCGAGGGTCAGTCCACACAGCCCCATTCGCTTGCTACCTAGCATCTGTGGGTACAAAAGGCTCAGACTTGGGGATGCCGAGGATGTTTGCCTGCCCAGGATGTTTGCCCGTGTCCCAATTCCCGTTACTACTCTCGCCCCTTATCTGTTTCCATCCCAGACCCCAGAAAAGAATGGCCACATTTCTCCTCTCGTTCCTAATTCACCCTTGGAGGAACAAACTTTCTTCTGGGTCACTTTTGATCTGCTTGGCTACAGGCACTGTGACAGGGAGAGGGGCCTGTTGCCCAAGGTGTGGCAACAGGGCCCGGAAAGGGGGCTCATAGGCTCAGTTCAAATCCTGGAGGTGACAGGGAGAGGGTCTCCTGACACCAGGGACAGTACTTGGGAAACCTCCCTCTGGGCGCACGCAATCTGGGTTCCTGGCTGCATAACCCCCATAGCCCACCACCCACACACAAATAAAGGCCATACTGGGATAGGGCCCCTGTGTCCTCCATACCCTCAAAAGATAACTGGGGCGGAGGCGGGACGCCCAGCCAAGGGAGCCCCGGGGAAGGGCAGGTGGACTGTCAGGCCAGAGTTGGCAAGTAGAATTTAGCCAACAAGAAGGGCTGGGAGTGAAGCTGGCAGAGCCGGCTCAGAGGACCGACCCGCGGCGGGGCAAGTGCAAGGAGAGCCGGCGCTCCGGTCCCCGTGGGTCCTGGCACTCACCTTGGCGGGCTGGCTGGTTGGCGTCTCTGAGCGGCGGGTGCTCTGCTGTGGGCGCCTCTGTGAGGGATGAGAGCCACCAGTGGGATGCTAAGAGCCGGTCGCCACCCGGCTTTTATGGAGCGCCCTCGCCGCGGCAGGAGGGGCCTCGGGCCAGTCACGCCCGGGTGACTCCCACCGCCACTTCCCGCCCCCAGCAGCGGGGGAGGAGGCTGGAACCACAGACTGCTGAAGTGGCTGGCGTCTGTAGCCACCCACACTCCAGCTCCGCCGGGAAAAGGGAGCAGCCAAGAGCGAGGACTCCTCGGAGCCCACTCTCCTTCCCGTCGAGTCCCGCCAGAGCCGGGCGCCGCGGGGACCGTTCTCGGTCGCCTGTCGCGGGCATTGCCAGCCCTCTGTGCGCGGGTCTGTGGGGACCGGGGTTCTGTACTTGGGGGAGCATCTCTGGGGTCGGCGCGACAACTGTGCGCGTTGGGAGGGAGGCAGCCGAGCAAGGTTTGAGGTTTTTCCCGCTCCCGGAGCAAGTGGCAGCCGAGCCCCGAGTCCCTGCTGCAGGGTCTCCAAAGGCTTCCGTGAACTTAGGAGGACCTTCCCCCAGCCCTCTCCCCAAGCTGAGAGCCAGACGGGGTCGCGACCAGAAAAGCCCCAGAGGCCACCACTGGAAGCCCGCGGTCCAGGGGGCTGTGGCGGTTCCACAGCTACCGCAGAAAATGGCGGAGGGTTGGGGGGAAGGCCCCAATTCAGCCCCCACGCCCCTGTCTGCGGGTCTCGTGAAGTCCTGAGTTTACACTCTGCTAATGTCCGAATAAGTGCATGCTTTCGGATTGAAATGAGCCAGATTAAAAGTCCAACACCAGTGTGCTCATCGCGTTAAACCTGTTGAATAAATATAAAAGATACTGAAATTACAAGATGGGGATTAGTGTCCCCTGGATGTTTGAATCTAAGTAAGAAGGCGCGTTGCTAAAACGGAGTTTGCGCGTCATTTTAAAGCAAAAAGAAATTATTTAGTTCAAGTGCCATTTTGAAGGTTGTTTAAACAGTGCTAAATTAACTATCAGAGAGAGAGAGAGACTTATGAACAATTGATAACTTTGAACACCAGCATCCCTGTTGCACTTTCCCTATTTCAGGAACCTGCACCATGGCCATAAACACCGGGCTGTCAGGGCTGCTCGTGTGTGTCCACATGGGGACCTTTGATAAAAGAGCAAAGCCCTTCTGATAAGAAGGAAGGCACACGCCGCTGTTCAATAAAGTAATCTTATTTTTGCAGTGAGCCAGAAACTGACATCGGTTAAAACCTGGACTCAGTTGGAGCCACTGGAGCCGGGAGAAAGCATGCCTAAGGGGACACCTCTTTTGAGCAGGGGACTCTGTGGGAATCTGATTAACTTACTTTATAATGACGGTGCTTGAGAAGACAACTTTCCCCTTCAGTGTTCGCAAAATAAAGTCCAGAGAGCGTGTGCCCAGTATACCACACTATAAGGCTCTCTTCCTTATAGTCCAAACGGCATCTTTTGGCCTTGGGCTCTTAACATGCTGTCATTCTCCTCATGTCATTCCACCAATTAACCCCTCCCTTCTGTAGTTTCCCGTAACCATCCTCAGCTCATAGAAACAACTCCTCCCCCACTGCAACGAGCAAAAGCAACTGCCCTTCAAGGCAGCATCTCCAGGCAGCTGCCAGCTCTCTCCTTTGTTCCAAAGTCAGGTTCCTTGATTTATTTATGTACACGATTATTTATTTCAATATCTTCTCTGAAATATCATTTAAAAATACTAAAAAGCTTGGAATGTTTGAAATAATCCCTTGGATGTACACAAATGCATTAGTGAAGCCTTAAAGAACAAAGGTACATGAACCTTTGTGAACTCCCTCCGATGGTCCTCCTCCTGCTCCTCCCTGCTCCCTTCCTCCAGAGATCTATTTTCTGACACAGAGTTGTTTGCCTGGTTCCAAAACTGCTTCTCATCTCTGCTGTGTGTGTGTGTGTGTGTGTGTGTGTGTGTGTTTATCCAGCATCCAAATATCAGTAGCACATGCTGTTTCCTGTTGGTACATTTCCATTCTGAGATACACCTCAACTTTCAAAAACCAGCTCAGCCTCTCCTAGACCCCAAGGTGTTCCCAGCTTGTGCTGTGACTAACTCTGCAAGGACATTGATTGGTAAGTCACTGTGTTGATGTAAGCAATCCTTTCTCATAGGAAAATAAATGCTAAATGACCAAGTGATGGCTGGTGGGTTCTGTCTCATAGTTCACTGCTAGTCTATTCTCTCTCTCTCTCTCTCTCTCTCTCTCTCTCTCTCTCTCTAGTTCCTATTGCTATGCCTTTAGTTACTTCATCTTTTCTGTTCCAATATGTGATCCTTGTCAGTTTTATTCAGTAATTTAACACCTTAGACCATGTTAGCTTTCTTCAGAATTCACGTCCAATCTCTACTCTAGGTTTTTAACACATTACAGTTATTATTACTATCCTTTTAGTATTTTGAAACAGGCTGTCACTATATAGACTACGCTATTCGTGAACTCCCAAAAAGTGCCTCAGTCCCCCAAATCCTAGGATTCCAGGCAAGTGCTATCAGGCCCAGCTGGACATACCTAATTAATATCTTCTGTCATCCATGTATTTGGGTTGACTTCCCCCTACACGATGACCTGCGTTTCCATGCTTCTTCTCTGTATGCCTCATAATTCACTAGGATGTCAGATACGGTGGATGTTACTTTGTTGTCTGTCAGATATTTGTGACTGTGTGTGTGTGTGTAACAACTCTTGAGCTTTGTTCTGGAAGAGTGAAAACTTTGCAAAGAGTTTTGTCAGGTTACATTTTGCACTTCAGTTTTGTTAGGTGGCTTCAAGTTGGCTTCAGTCTAGGATTTTTTTTTCACTTTCAGAGTAAGATCTTTCTTACTTTAACTGATAACTGATGGCTGAGGGGACAAGATTTCCACTCTGGCTGTTGGGCTACCCCGCTATGCCCAGCCCCTTGTGAGCCTCAGACCCTTCTTATCCCATGCTCTTTGCCTGATCTTGAGTGGTTCTTTTGGAAGCTGGATTTAATAGGCACTCAACTCCGTTTTGGAGGGAGAACTGTAGCTCCCCAGACAGAATCTGAATTCTCACAGCCTGGCTCCAGCTCTCCCAAGGCTGCCTGGGCACCTCCCCTCTGCATGGCAACTTGGCTGATTCTGGTTCCATCGCTGGGCTCCCTCATTTGTTTTCTATTGCCAGGAGATCACTATCTGTTAGAGGATGGTGCTTATATTCTCAGAGTTGTTTTATTTATTTTTGTTTAAGGTTGCCATTGTTTCCAGAAACCTCCAAGCATGACCTTTCCACTTATAGCCTCTGCCTCTTCACTCTGGCCTTGGTCACAAAACCACCATACTTACTCCATGTTCAGGTTATTAAAACTCTGCCCTACCTTCTTCCTGTGTGGGCCACAGAACCCTGAAGTATTCCTTTAAAGATTGTCTCACAGTTGTGGCTGTCTATTTAAGGGTACGCGTGTGTGCGTACCCTTAAATGTTCTAAACTGTTTCATGTCTTTAATATTTTATAATTGTAAGTTCCATACATACAAATAGAGGAATACCCATCTTGAAACTTGGAATCGGTGTGTCATTATCTACCTACCTCTCTATCTACCTAGTAGTCAAAGTTTGTTAGGATTTCATAGGCCCAACAAACAAGTTCCTCAAAGGAACCTATAGATGAGCCAGAAGTCACACGTAGAGAAAGGGAAGCAATCTGACTGATGGGTAATAAACTTCAGGTGGGGGGAGAGGCCTGTAGCTCTGCTCTCTCCCCCTACTGCCAAGAAATAAACACTGCTCTTTTAATTTTAACTTTCATCAAGCCCAATACAGCAGTATTACATACTTCCCACCTCTACAGTCCAGGGAACAAAGAATTCAACTTTAAAAAAACAACAACTCAACGCCTCTTAGATCCCGGCTTGCTATCTGTTTGTTCTATCTAATTTGGGGAGGACTTGATTGATAAGTCATTGTCTAGTGTGAGTTTTAAATAATCTGGCATGGCTGCCCATGCCTGTAACACCAGCAATACACAGGCCGAGGGAGGAAGATTGCAGCATGAGCTCAAAGATAATGTGTTTTTATTTTTATCAAAGTTAAACAAAATTTGAGAAAGATGCAGGATGATAATTTAATAGTTTAATATGATTTTTAAAAATAATCTCAGAATTGTTTTCTATTAGAAAAATTATGGACAGCACCTCTGTCTATGGGACCATACTTATTTAAACAATGACACACATATATAGATATTTTCTTTGAATCATTTGCCTCATAAGGGT